AGTTGTACTATAAAAAATAATCCAACAAAAAATGTTACTGAAAATCATAACCATTCAATTTTATTAATCACATATATTAATATATATATGTATTTTTAATATGTATTTATAACCATTTCTTTTGTGGGTGCCTATTATTATTTAAAGTTAAAAAATGCTAATTCAATTATTGCAATCTTTTAAAATTAAAAGGTAATACATACCTTTTAAAATGATGATGCATGCTATTCAAAAAAATGGAGCTACGTGCTATTCAAAAAAATTGAAGATACGTGCTATTAAAAAAATGAAGCTGCATATCGCTTTTTTAATCAAATAATTTTTTTTAAATGAACATGTACTACGGGGTAGTATGGAGGAGCAAGACTTTGCTAATTGCTACTAACTACTTACCATGAAAAGAATTAGAGGTAAATAAGGAAACAATCACACGGTTATCCCAATTTTCCATATATGTTGGAGAAATCATTTAAAATAATCTGGTTTCAAAACTTGATGCTGGATTTTTTTTACAAATAATCTTTGCAAATAATTTCTTTATCTCAATCATAATCTCAAAAAAATCAGCCACCTCATCAAATTAATCTCTAAATAATCTAAACAATGGGTTGCTCTAAACAAATTTTGACGTCCAAAACACCGGCGACGGATTAGTTGACTAATGGAATTAATAATGACAAAGCATTTTTTCTTATACGGAGTTATTGATGATCGAAAGCACAAAAAGAAAATATCTTAAATAAACGCGCGAACCATCCTTTGTCATTTCAAACTGTTGATTATTATAAATATCGTGCTTAGGCTTAGATTTAGAAATCTACACTAGCAGACAACTTCCGATATTTGCGAAATTAGAGCTGGATAATCGTATAGAAGTAATAATTTTAGAAGCAAATAACGTTGATTCCAATTTAAGAACTCTTTGAGAATAATGCAACTGCTGAACTGCAGGATGTTTGCAAGTAAAAGCTTTACAAAACTGTCGGCAAAAAAAATCAATATGCACGTCCAAAAGAGAAATAAATGCACATACTAATTGTGTAGTATTATTTATTTATTTATTTACTTATTACTTTATGTATAGAGTTCTAAATTCCTTTTAGTTCTGAATTTTAGGTAAAATGAAGGATATATAAAGTATACATGAATACTTCGTAATATATATGTTCATTTGTCAAAAAAAGTAAACATAGGGGTGTTTGTAACTGATTCTTCTTCTGCTTCTTTTTAAAGAGCAGAAGCAGAATCAGAATCCGTTTTCAGAAGCTGGTACCTACCAGCTTCTAAAAAAACTGATTCTGAGAGTAAATTAGAGCACCAGAAATGCTTCTGGAATTTCACCCAAACACTCCAGCTTTTGCTTCTACTCCCTGAAGAAGCAGAATCAGTTTTGAGAATCAGATCCAAACACCCCCATAACCTTCAATTTTTAGGATAACACAAAAAGGCCAGGAAATATGTAAGTATATATGTATGTTGAGGTTTATTCCTCTCGGTCCAAGTGTTCAACATTTCCTTTGATCTTTAGTTAGATGTTGATGGATTGGTATGTTTAAATGATCTAGTTGATTACAGGTTTGTGAGCACAAGTACCTAATAGAAGGAATGAGTAGGAAATGTAAAGTGGGTCAAGTTCTATTAATGCCTTAGAACGATTACAACATACTCTTACAGAGCCAAGTGCTGAACCTCTATTCTAATTAAGTCACGAGTATACAAAAGAGTAGAGGGAGAGGCTAAAGCTATTGAATGTAAGTTGTCATTTACAAAAATGCCATTTTCAGTTTTCATTTTCTTCTCACATTTTGCATTTCCAATTTTAGTATGACGATTATGAATATGTAAATGCCTGAATTTGTATCTAAAAATTACGGATTACATGTGTTGAGATATTGGGTCCAGACCCAATATACCCGGCCCTAAGTATGACGGGGCCCCGAGGAAACATAGGGCTCAAAGCGGTCCGGAACACCTCGATCGGCATTCGGCACATTTCGTCTACTTGGAGTATTTCAGGAAACACCGGCATCTAAACACCCACGAAGGGGTCCCGCACGCCGAACGCACCACCCGGACGGATAGTCCACAAGTGGAGGCCGCATTTAATGCCAAAGCATGGCAATAGCAAGTGGGGGCTGTGAAATAATGGGAAAGGTTACCCCAGTAGGGTACCTGGCAGGTATATTTATAATAATAAGAGTTTCCAAGAATACAAATTATTCCTAAATTAACATTAGGCTATTACCTAATTTAATATTAGGCTATTACACCCCCTCAAACTGTGCGGGAGATACAACGCGCAGGTTGTCCTTTAAAAAATGAAATTGCTGACTAGAGAGACTCTTAGTAAATATATCAGCCAGTTGAAGACTAGTAGGCACATATTTAACGACAAGATCACCATGAGCCACGCGTTCACGAACAAAGTGATAATCAATCTGAATATGCTTGCTCCGAGCATGTTGAACAGGATTCGCTGTCAAGTAGGAAGCAGAGATGTTGTCGCAGAACAGACGAACTGGGGCCGTGACAGTAAATCCAAGCTCGAACAGAATGGACCGAATATGAAGTGTGTCCTGCACCGTGTAAGCAATAGCACGATACTCTGCTTCTGTAGAGGATTTGGAGACAGTAGGCTGCTTCTTGGATTTCCAAGACACGAGATTGGGTCCTAGAAAAACAGCATAACCCGTGGTGGACCGAGACGTGTCGGGACACCCAGCCCAATCTGCATCCGAGTATGCTATAATGCAAGTCGCCTTTGGTGTGGGCTGAAGCCACAGACCATGATCAATGGTACCCTGCAAATATCTAAAAATCCTTTTGACAGCAAAAAGGTGAGTAGTGCGTGGGGCATGCATAAACTGAGAGACTAAATGCACTGCATAAGTAATATCAGGTCTTGTCAAAGTTAAATACTGTAATGCACCTACCATACTGCGATACTCAGTCGCATCTGCAAGTAGCTCGCCATCAGTGAGAGATAAGGAAGTACGAGACGCAAGGGGAGTGCGAACTGACTTGACAGTGTGTAAATGAAAGCGAGATAAAAGGTCAGAGACATATTTCTGCTGGGAGAGAAACAAACCTTTAGGATTACGAATGGCCTGAATGCCAAGAAAATAATGAAGATCACCCAAGTCTTTCATGGAAAAATGGTGAGCAATAAGATGAATGAACTGAGTGACAACAGATGATGAATTGCCAGTAATAATAATGTCATCCACATATAGTAACAAATAAATAATCGAAGTGCCCTGGCGGTAAATGAATAGAGAGTTATCCGACTTACTACATAAAAAGTTATGAGAAAGTAGGAAACTACTGAACTTATGAAACCATGCCCGCGGGGCCTGCTTAAGACCATAAATAGCCTTGCGCAGACGACATAAATGATGAGGATACTGAGGATGAATAAAACCCCGCGGCTGACGCATATAAACTTCTTCAGTAAGATGACCATGAAGAAAAGCATTTTTAACATCAAGCTGACGCATAACCCACCCGAATGAAATAGCTAAAGTGAGAACAGTACGAACAGTGGTGGGTTTAATAACAGGACTAAACGTTTCAGAAAAATCTACACCAGCCTGCTGATTAAACCCCTGAGCAACTAACCGTGCCTTGTGGCGCTCAATAGACCCATCTGAAAGAAATTTTGTCTTATAAATCCACTTAGAGCCAACAATATTTTTAGAGTTATCAAAAGGTACCAAATCCCAAGTGTTGTTAGCAATAAGTGCATTAAATTCCTCAGCCATAGCCTTACGCCATATCAAGTGTTTATTTGCCTCAGAAAAACAAGTAGGATCTGCTGAAAGAACAACCGTGTTTAAATTAAAAATAGTTTTTGGTTTAAAAATTCCAGATTTCGCCCGAGTTTGCATCGGGTGGACATTAACAGGGGAAGGGGGGTGCTGTTCGGGCTCAGGTGCGGGGCTGGGCAGTGGGTTTGTAGATGGGGTGATAGGTGGGTTGTTCGGCTGAAATGGAGTGGGGTCAGATACAGGGCTGGTCGGTGGACTGGACTCAGCTGAGGAGAGCTCGAGCTGCTTGGTGTCCGGTGTAGCGAGGTGTTCCGGACTGGAGAAGCTGACCGGGATGGGGTTTGAGGTTGGGGTGGTCGGACAGGCCGTATGGCGGGACTGAGGTGGCTGGTTTGGGATGGGCCGAGGATTCCGAGGAAGAGGTAAGAGAGCAGGTCGGGGATGGTCCTTTGGGAGTAAGTCTGATCGGCTCCAGGAGGAAATAGGGAGAGGAGTTTGGGAGGTAGAAGGCGTGTTATGCATAGTAGAGGTCAAAGTGGTGTACGGAAAAATATTTTCACAAAAACGCACATGCCGACTTATGTATACTTTTCCGGTTTGAGGATCAAGACAACGATAACCTTTATAACCAGATGCATATCCTAGAAAAACACATTGAATGGATCGGGGAGAAAGTTTATTGGAGGAACTGGCAGAAATATTTGGAAAACACGCACAACCAAAGACACGTAAAAGGGAATAATCAGGAGATTTTTGAAAAAGTTTTTCATAAGGAGAGTGACCAGACAACGTTGGAGTGGGTAATCTGTTAATAATATATACAGCCGTAAACAACGCATCAACCCAAAAATGACTAGGAAGAGATGCCTCAATAAGCATAGTTCTAGTTAGTTCAAGTAGATGACGATGTTTACGTTCAGCAAGCCCATTTTGTTGAGGAGTGTGAGGGCAAGATTTTTGAAAATAAATTCCATGAGTATCAAAAAATTGCTGCATATGAGAATTAACAAACTCACCCCCTCCATCACTTTGAAAAATTTTAATTCTAGAGTTAAAAAGATTTTCAACTAAAGATTTAAAAATTTTAAAAGAGTCAAAAACCTCGCTTTTATGACGTAATGGGTAAATCCATGTAAAACGAGAAAAATCATCAATAAAGCAGACATAATATTTAAACCCTAAATTAGAAAGAACAGGAGATTGCCACACATCAGAATGAATTAATTGTAAAACAGAGGAAGAAGTGTGAATAGCATCTGAAAAGGGTAATCGTTGAGACTTGCCTAACCGGCAAGAAATACAGTCATGGGAAAAACTAGAGCTATTACATATGCGTTTTTGACCACTTAAAATACGTAAAATATTTTCACCACAATGACCTAATCTACGATGCCACACAGGGCCGGTGGTGAGGACTGAAGATAAAGCTAGGCTAGATGGTGGACTCAGGCTGAGAGGATAGAGATGGCCATTAGTTGTTGCCCGAAGAAGAACCGCCCCCGAAATTTTGTCCTTAACAAAAAAGGAATTTTTGTCAAAAATAGCAACACAGTTGTTATCAGCACACAATTTTTGAATTGAAATTAAATTAAATTTAATATTAGGCACATGATAAACAGATTTCAACAGCAGTTGGCGGCCAGAGGAATTTAAAGAAATATCACCAACATGTTTTATAGGGAGTTGAGCACCATTAGCAACACTAACAATAGTTGGACCAGAATAAGTAGATTTATTTGTCAAAATACCTTCAGAGGAAGTCATATGAGCAGAAGCACCAGTGTCTGGATACCACAGAGCTTCATTAGCTTGACCGGTGAGAAGAACAGGTGCAGTAGATGGAGAAAAACGAGAGGGACAGTTGATTGCAGAATGGCCTGCAGAAAAACAGATTTGACACACAACGGGTGGGGGAATTGCCCCAAGAATTCCCTCAGTTGATGAAGAGCCTGCAGATTTAACATTAGTACCACAATATAATATAGCATTAGTATTTAAGGTGGACAAAACAGAATTACTCATGGCACCTGCATTCGGAGGTCTCAGTTGTTGCTGGCCGAACCCCTGCTGATGGTGCTGTCCCGGTTGCTGGCCCTGTTGCGGAGCTGACTGCTGCTGCCCGTGGCCCGGTTGCTGGCCGTACTGGTGGTAACCACGGCCTCTGCCGCGGCCGTTTCTTCCACGGCCACCCCTGCCGCGGCCACCGCGGCCTCCATGTGGGGCTCTGTCTCGATCTTGGACACCGAAAGCTTGGTAAGCAGGCGGAGTATTTTGCTGACGAAGATATAGGACCCTCTGTTCGGCTTCTAACAAGCTCCGGTGAAGAATGTCTGGCGGGAAATTATCGGGAAAAAGAGAAATAGTGCCCATGGTGGATTCATATTCTGGTCCGAGCCCCATAAGTGTGGTTTGAAGAACTTCTTTATCGGACACAGGAGAATTTATTGTAGCTAATTCGCTTACTAATGCATGAATTTCTCTTAAATAATTTTCCATAGACTGATTTTCCTTCTTTTTCACATTAGACAATAAACGCCTAAGTGTCATTGCTCTAGCCAGACTAGCAGAACGAAAACGATTTTGCAATCTTTCCCAAATCTCAAAGGAGTGTTTAAGTTCATGGACATCAATTAATACATCACGAGTAAGAGTAGCAAAAATCCAAGAACGAATTGTTTGATCAACCCTTAACCAGTGATGATACTCCGTATTAATTATTTGATGATTATTAAAGTCAATCGTGTACATCGGAGGTACCTTTGTGGAACCATCCAAGAAACCAAACACACCTTGAGAGACGAGGAAAGCTTCGAATTGAGTGCGCCAGGTGATGTAATCTTCCACAGCTTTAAGCTTAATAGTAACAATTTGAGTAACGTTGTTGGCCGGTGAGATGGATTGAGAAACCACTGCCATCGGAGACTGAAATAGGGAGGGATCATGCGGCCGAGATATCCCAGGAGCACCGAAAAATGTTGAACCAAAACTGCCAGGGGTGGGGTGTAGCGGTTGCGCGGTAGACGGTACCGGAGTTGAGAAGAGACTGCCGGCAGCAGGAATGACCGGTGGCTGCCATGGGAGTACCGAAGGGATGGTGTGAAACAGAGAGTACGGACCATCCGTAACAATAGGGGAACCGGCAGTGTGCAAAGATGATCCCGGTTGAGAAGAAATCACTGGCGGCGGCTCGGTCAAGGAGACAGAGGCGCTAGTGAGGACCACGGCTGCGTCGGTAAAAGGGGCAGAAACCGGCGCCATAGTCGAGGAGGTAGAAGCAGCAGTGAAGGCATCCATGGAGGAGGAAGAAATTTCAGTGGTGGAAGCCATGGTTTCGGCGGAAGAGAAGGCAGCGGCCGAAGGCCTAGATCGAACGAGGGTTAAGGAGAGAGAAAGAAAAAAATTTAGGCTCTTGATACCAGGTGAAATAATGGGAAAGGTTACCCCAATAGGGTACCTGGCAGGTATATTTATAATAATAAGAGTTTCCAAGAATACAAATTATTCCTAAATTAACATTAGGCTATTACCTAATTTAATATTAGGCTATTAGGGGCATGGGTGCATTCGTGGCAGAGGTTATGGCCTACCGGATTCAGCCACGTGTCCATCTCACCCATCCTCACCATAGTATAAATACTTGGGCTTAATACATTGTAAAGGGTTAACATTTTCATACTCAGAGCTTAGCAATAAAATCATCTCTCTTGTATTGTATTCAAACTTGTGCCGACATACCGTTCGGGCAGTTATATTAAGTAATCATCGAATTACTTAATACAAGTTAGCTCCTGAGTTATTCCTTAATTCACTGTTTTATATTTCATACACCTTTATAAACCAAACTTCCTTAATATCAAAAGCGTGTGTTGGACTTTCGGATCCACGTGAAAATATTGTTATTATGTCAATTTTATTCTTATCCAGCTGGCATTCTCGTTGGAGACAGTCAGGAAGGGACCTCTGGCGGCAATTCGTTGGAAGATGGCAACGACGAATTCGCCGAAGGGTGGCACTGGTGGCGGTCTTGCCATTGGTTTTGGCAGAGGCTCCGTCGGTGTTTGCAATAGATACTAAGGCTACTAAGGCGTAGCTGGTCTCTATTATGTTTTGTTTTTAATTATTAAGACTTGGACCTTCATTAAAGATTATACTACGTATTTGTCAAGCTAATACGGAGTATATATTATAGTCCCTATAAAACATTGAATCTTATATATGTGCTCTTTCATTGTTTTGATCTTAGGGAATTGTCCCTGTTTTGTTTTTGTTTTTCCGTTGCACTATTTCAATCTTAGAATGTTTTTTTGGACTGAAATTTGTTGGTCTGGTCTGCTTAAGTCCGATGTGGTCTGGTCTGGTAAACGTCTGATCTTTGTGTATTTTATAACTATGGAAATCTGATCTAGTCTGTTTATGTCTGGTTTGGTCTGGTCTGTTTAAGTTTGGTATGATCTGGGAATGAAAATAGTTCAAAAGAAAACATCCTAAGAGCCCGTTTCGTAACCCTGTTTTTCAGCTTATCAAAGTTTATTAGCCAATTTTTCATCAAACGTTTAAGTTTTGATTTTGCACGCTAAATGGTGTAATAATAAGAAAAAGGAAGGTTGAAGTTACTTTTCTAGCTGTATTGGCTGAAGTTGGTGTAGATGACCATTTTACCTATTTACATATAATTTTTCTTTATTTTATTAATGAAATATGGAGTATATTTTAATTATAGTTTTTTCACAAATCTGCGGAATCAGTCAATTCGTCCACTTCAACTAGAATTTTATAAATTTCAGCAAAATCGACTGATTCAGCCGATATTGATATTACCAAATACCTATGTAACACAGAAACTCTCGGAAAAGACTACGTTTCCCATTTCGGAAACTCTTTGGAAATTGTCCAAATAATAAGCCTTTTTTGAACAAAATTTGACGTTTCTCATTTCTCGTTTTCTCATGATTTTCGCGTTTCCGTCCAACATAGCCAAATACCAAACAAGCTCTTAATTTAATTTAATAGCTATTTTATCAGCACTTACAAAATAATACTTCGTATTAATTAATTAAAAAATAACAAATACGGAGATTTTATCATAAGTTCCACACGAGCAACCATTCACCAAGATATATAATAAATCGTGCCTCAATATATCAACCGAACAAGATACTACAAAAACATTAAAAACTTGAAATCTATTTCAAATTAATATACAACTATATTAATTAGGTCGATCGTGCACCAATTCCATCTATTGGCCGAACAAGATACTACAAAAACATTAAAAACATTAATACAAAAACTTGAAGTTGGAATTGCTGTATTGGCCGAACAAGATACTACAAAAACATTAAAAACTTGAAATCTATTTCAAATTAATATACAACTATATTTTTACGTTGGAAAAAAAAAAGAATTAATAGGCCTATGATTGATTGATTGGTGCCCCTCTTGGCTTTTGCTTGACCCCCTTAGGTTCAGCCATCTACCCAAAAAAGGTGGAATTGAATCATTCACTCTTGGCACCCACACACCCCAACTCAACCCGATAGAATGGTGGATAGTAAATTACCATATGATTTCAAACAGTTTTTGAGTGAGCTGGTCCAAGATAAGTATGTACAAGAAGTCTTCATATTGAAATCTGAATCCAATCAGCGAGCTTACTTAGTCACGTACCATTAAGCTACCCGAGCAATTTACAAATCTTAAACTACACTTAGGTCGGCCATGCATGTACATACATATATATTCGCAGGACAAGCTACAAGCGCATTAAAAAAGACAGGATCATTAAAAGGACAAGCTAATAAGTAGCTAAGCAAAATTAATTAGCAAATACTTATAAATTAATTGGAAGGTGCGGAATATCAATTTTAATGACGACTTTTTCTTTATAGTTTTACTTTTATAGGCATATACGTACGACGGTGATATGATATTTCATGCAACATCTATCACTAATTAAAAGTGGTTAATCAATTTATGATCTAGCTAGCTTAGCTTTGTGGCTCGCTCTAGCTATGTCTAATGTTTGTATCCTCTAACTTCCATCAACCTCATTGCCTTATCTTCAATCTTTTTTTTTTATCTTGGGTGGGCCCAGCTGAAATGGTCTTATTTATATGATGTATGTGCTGAATGCGTTTAATAGCTAAGTCATGCATATCTAATCTGAAATATTGAGTTGGATATATTGTACAAAGTTAGTAGTATAAATCTTGCCTTTTTTCATAACTATTCAACTAGTGGATATGGCGGCTTATAATCACCAGCAGCTACTTCTTTCTGCTCTTCTTACACTTGGTCTTATTTCGTTGTTGGGTTCAAGTTTATGCTATGCTCAGGGTCCGCCTTCTCCGGGCTATTACCCAAGTTATAAAGTTGGATCAATATGGTTCAACCAGTATTTTAGCAGTTATTGGGGTTCTCAGCATCAATCTCTTGACCAGCATGGAACTTTAGCCATATGGCTCGATCGAGCCACAGGTATTGTAGTACATTTTATTATAGAAATTAAAGTGGGGATAGATCCATGTTGAAGTATTTCTCGGGTTAGTCCTAGTATCAGGTTACCTTTTTGAATGGAAGTATAAGTCTTAAAAGAACTACACTTGTTGTGTCAATGAACGTATAACGTCTCGTGCAGACGAGATTCGGTCTTTTTTAATCACGTTGCGGTTATAATTCAATTTGAGTGTTTCAACAATTTCTGGTCTGCTTTTGGGATTTAGAGATGATGGGTACATCTTTCCTCATAGATTTCTTGTTTGAGATATATTATACTCTTCACCTAAAATGGTTTAACTCTCAAAGTGAAGTTCCAAACTAAAGAAGGTTGTTTCCCTTAGCTTGGATTTTGAGCTCATAAGTAAACATTTGATTCACTAAACTTTTAGCCTTTTAGGACATGAGTCTAATTCAAAAGATTTAAAAATACTCCGTAGTTGGTAAAGCCTAATTCTAAATCAGACATTTGATGCAAATTAAAAATGTCCTTTTCTTGTTTTCGTGCTATATATGTACATTACAAAAAATGCCTCATTATAAAGGCCGGTATCACTACAGTAAATTTTTAACAAAAATTGAGAAGTGTCTGATTTCATTTACAATTTTTATGACAAACTTTTGCTTGCATATTTTCAACGAAAGCATATTTATGTCACAACTGGTGGGTGGGGAAGGGGGCTGGCTACCTTAATTATAACCAGGTTGTCTCTTCTGTACAATTTGTCTTTCTTTCCTTTGCGCGTTATTATTAACTTATTTTAATTAACATTTTAACAAAAGAACTTATTCTAACATTTTAGTTTATTCATTGGGAAGGTTGGGGAAAAAAAACAATTATCAATCAATTCTTATCGTACTCACCTTTATACACACCTTATATTCATCATGTCTGTGAGATTTTTGTCTCATTATCTATGAATCCAGTTCACGAACAAAATATGTCTTATTTTGTCGGTGCAAAGACATATTTTTTCTGTGAACGAGATTCACAGACTAATAAAAATCTTGCACAAACGTGATAGGTATAAAAGTGGATATAAAAGTGGCTAGAAAACGTCATTTTGTGAAAATAAAATGCATGTTTCTCAGTTAGATTGGGTCATTGGAGTCGTTTATTATACCTGCCCAAATAAATGCCTTCAAGTATACACGTCAAACACTGAAACACTACTACGGAGTACTAGTCTACTGCAACTATTGTGCTTGTATCGTTTTCGCACCTCAGAAAACGATTACGGAATACAATGGTACATTCAATCAATCATATCCCTTGCTCACAGGGAGGACCGTAGTGCAGACCCGGGGTTACCCCTCCTCCAACAAAATTTATTTTTGGTATATATACTCCGTATATAAGAAAAATAATTTTCGTTCTCAAAAATTATAATTTTAGCCCTCAAAAAATATTTTGAACCCCCCAACATGAATTTCTGGGTCCGCCCTTGCTCAAAATGAAGTCCACGTGTTTATTGTACTTTTATTGTCTTTATTAGGCTAAAGGGTCAAATAGGTACATGAACTAACTTAAAGTGTTCAATTAGCCCCTTATATAGGAGGTTCTGCCCGGCCGTCGCCAATTGGGGCGGTTCCCGGTGGAATTTGTTGATGAAATTTTTTGAGCATCTTCTTCATTAAGTCTAGTTTACCTGTATCAAATTTTAGCTAAAAATTGAACCGGGAAGGCAGTCAAATGATTTTCCGAAATGTACTGCGTTGTTTAACTGCGCAGTTATCTTCAAAAAATCATTTGACTGCCTTCCAGGTTGAATTTTTAACTGAAATTTGGTATGGGTAAACTAGACTTAATGAAGAAGATGCTCAAAAAAATTCATCAAAAAATTCCACCGGGAATCGCCCCAATTGGCGACGGCCGGGCAGAACCTCCTATATAAGGGGCTAATTGAACACTTTAAGTTAGTTCATGTACCTATTTGACCCTTTAGCCTCTTTATTATTAATACGTAATACTTCTATATTCTAAATGATCGAATATTCTAATAATTAAAGTCTATATACGGGGTATTTAGAAACTAATACTAAAAAGTGACAACATCCAAATAATTAGAACATACGGAGTATCATAAAAATTGATATCCTATATTAGTAAATAATACGGAGTATGTTGATTATTAAAAGTAGACTAAACAAAGTTTTTTGATACCGAGTGTGTATTATTTACTCCGTATAATATATACATATAAATGAATAAAATATGAATTTTTATTCAAGTGAGAGATTCCAAAATAGGATTAAAATATGAATAAAATCATAAATATAGGATTGTCATGTTTTATTCTTAAAATATGACTCATTCACTCATATTTAGAGAAATTTTAATCATATTATTCTTCTAATAGGATAAATGAGTCCTATTTGTGAAATAAATCGTACTTAGTTCCCGTAAATATATGTTCCCTAAACAGAAATAAATAATTAATGTCATCTTGAAAAGTATCTTCATATTAATATCTGAAGATGTCATTATATTATATGATGACACTATTGCTGATATGGATTATATTTATAGACATTCTAAGTATGGATTATAATCCATACTTAGAGTATGGATTATTGTTGTAGAATCCATAAAAGTAAAGATTATTATAGTTAATTTCACCTATCATTACACGTACTATTTATTGGGGGGGGGGGAATTGGATTCCTATTTATGATTTTTAGGATACCACCTTAGTTTTAATTCTATTTTTTAAAACAACCAATCTTTTTGCCAGATAAATACCAAATTATTATGAACGTGAAATATATTGTTACATTACTATCTTTTGGTAGACACTACGTACACATTAAGTTTATTTATACGTACACCAAAACATTAATTATTTAGTTCTCATATACGTAGTCCAGAAGGATTGTTTTCAGTCCCAGATCAGACTAGATCAGACCAGACCAGACCAGATTAGACCAGACCAGACTAGATCAGACCAGACTTCCATAGTTATAAAATACACAGAGAGCAGACGTTTACCAGACCAGACCAGTTCAGACCAGACCAGACCAGACCAGACCAGCAAATTTTAGTCCAAAAGAAAACATCCTAGTATTACTCTAGCTTTATTATTGTTAGTTTTAAAATGGAAAGACATTCAACTTAGCCATGGTATGATGCTCGATGATTGATATCTTTACCAGTTTTATTGAATCAAATACAGGAAGTGGGTATAAATCTCATCGTCCTTACCGATCAGGCTATTTTGGGGCTTCCATCAAGCTTCATCCCGGATATACGGCTGGTGTTATTACATCATTTTATGTGAGAACTCCTAGTATTATTAATTTATTACTCCCGTATATACTTTTTTTTAAAGTATATAAATAAGATATTTTCCCCAAAATATTACTAGTGTTAAAATGAAATTTATTTTAAAAAATATGGCTAATGGTTTTTATAATATAATTAATTGATTTAAGCATGAAAATGAACATAAATTACTACAATTAGGTTAGACCTTTTTTAATGAATATTACCAAATCAAATTCCAAATACAAAAATATGATTTGTTTTAAAAGTTTCCGAAAATTGACATATTTAATAACTAGTTAATAATGATTCGTCATCTACAATGATTTTTCATCGTAAAATACATTATAGTGACTAGTTCACGGTGACTCATACACAGCAGTTAATTAAATTTTTATCTAAAAACATAAATAATCATTTTTTTTGTCTAGGAAAACTCTATTATTAGTATTATACATGTCGTTTTTAGATTGAATGTTATAGGTATTAAATAAGAAGTCACATTTTTATAAATCACATTTAATTTAATTATATATGTGTAATTACTCCTATAAATAATGAATGATTAATTAATGGAATTGCACGGTGTGTACGTTGAATATGTAATGAAGCTGTCAAACACGGAACAACACCCTGGGACCCACGATGAGGTCGACATAGAGTTCCTTGGAACGACGCCGGGGAAGCCGTACACCTTGCAAACCAACGTGTACATCAGAGGGAGTGGAGACGGAAACATCATCGGACGGGAAATGCGGTTCCACCTGTGGTTCGACCCCACCCTATCTTTCCACCATTATGCCATTCTTTGGAATCCTGACGAGATCATGTATGTCGTCTTTCCCTTAAGCGTCCATTCAAAATTCATATACTGCCTTAATCCTAAAATTAATTCCCTGGATTATGATGGAAAAACAATTTGATTTCTGTATAAACTAAGACTATTTTTAGTAAATAAATTTTATATTCAGAAACTACATTAAAATCGCTACAAAGACTCATAAAAAATGTAAATTTTATAAAAATTTGATATATAAAGCAAAAAATTAAAAGTAATTTAAGTTGATCATGTGAATAGTGAATGAGAAGTTAATTTTGGGACGGGAGTATATATCATGCCTCCCTCTCATAATTATTGATCAAATATACCTTTTTTGATATAATAAATTTTGAATTATGATTTTAATTATTATAGAGAATACTGCATATATTTGTTATAATTTTCATATTTTAAATAACTTCATTGATTAAGAAAAATACGTTTTGTAGGACAAAGGAATCATTACGTAGTGCACCCTACTTCACAATTTCACTATAAAATCATTTGATTTTGCACTCTACTCTTTCGTGATTTTAGAGTTGGTTGGATGAAAATGATATTGAAAATGAGATTCAAAATGAAATTTCAAACTTACGAAGTCAAACAACTTTTTTAACACATTGCTTTCATGAGAAAGACACCTATTAATTGTTCTTTTGCGTGTAGAAATCTAGATTTCATCAAGTATGAATGGACTGATAAAACCCGTTTAGAGAAACATAAGATGTCCACAAATTAGTTCTCCAAAACAGGAAAAACTATCCAAGAAAATAATTAATACGGAGTATTAACAAAAGTACAGGTTACCAATAATTTCGGTTAGTTCGTTTATTATTACCGTATGCTTGACAAATAATGTGACTCCCTTTTTTTTTGACAAAATTACATGAACATGTTTCTTGCTCACTTTCAAGTATAATTCCAAATTAAGTAGTGTTAAAAATAAATAGGGAAATAAATTTAATCCAATCAAGTAATCTAAAAAAAGTTCTAGTCATGTAATCATAACGAAAACAAGTTAATTTATTTAAAAACTTAAACGACTACTTTTGTTCTCCTCAAAATGTCACTAAAAAAAATGGGATTGACATGAATTTGAAAAAAAAAACCATTAAAGATTTGGCAGGGAATACAAAGGATATGTCAAATACGTGCCACAAACATTTTGACACAAGTTATTTATTACGAAATCATCGATAAATCCGTATTAAATCCGTGTCAATCCGTAATTACTTTTAGTCTGTAGTTCACTAATTTAGTCTCGATTCAATTGAATAAGTTAATACTTGAGCCTAACAAATTTGTTACGATATCCTTCTCAGTTCCCACATAGGATAGGAATTAACAAGAAAAGTTACACATAATGGCACAAATTATTGACCAGTAGGTGACAGATATTCTAAAATCATGCTCTATCTTCGTCTGATATGATACATTTGTTTGTATTCATTTATTTTCTACACATAGTACCCTATAAGTTTTTGTAGCACCCCACTCAGGCCAAACAATTTTGTTTGCTTTCTTTCCTTATCGTCCTTCAACTAATTAACGTGTCGGCTAACTGTTCCTCTTGGATGACGTCCACTGGCCGCAGATTTTATGTCGACGACGTCCCAATCCGACGGTATCCGAGAAAGATCGACGCCACGTTTCCACAAAGGCCCATGTATCTGTACGGGTCAATTTGGGATGCATCACCTTGGGCCACTGAGAATGGCAAGTACAAGGTTGACTATAATTACCAACCCTTTGTTGCAAAGTACACAAATTTCAAAATTTGGGGTTGTGACGAGCAGGCCGCCGTCTGGTGCCGCCCCGTGGCTAGCTCTCTCGTCGGGTACACGGGGCTGAGCCGCCAGCAGTATGTTGCCATGGAGTGGGTGCATAGGTACCATAAGGTGTATGACTACTGCCAGGATTGGACTCGAGACCGTTCGCGCACACCGGAATGTTATTAAGTGGTTTGATAACTTCTATGGTACCCTACAAATTGGAAGGTTTTAGTATATTAACTTATTTGTCTTATAATTTTAGCAACTTCATATTATGTCATTTACTAATAAATTTGTCTGCATTGAATATTTTTCACCAGAATGTACTATTTTGAACATAAAATCAATAATGGCAGCACATTTTCTAATTACAATCTGCTGTACTTTTCCTTCAAAATTGTACATTCTAATGGAAGCTCTTTAATATGGACAAACTTATTAGTCGTAAGACATGATCATTAAGTTTGTGAAGTTATATGACTTATAACTGATATAAACACAAATTACGTGATTAAATCTTAAAAAAATCTATAAACATATCATCTTAAATTTGTTTAATTATTATTAAGATATGCAAGATGGGTAAATGTATAATGATTGGCCCCATATTTTCTTGATCACATCAAGTAGTTACAAGTCCATAAATATTTGGTAAACAATAAAATAATACTAAGCCCTATGAAGTTGATAGGGTACCATAGAAGATCCTTCAAAGTTAAGGGTCATATCTACAAGTTAATAAAGGTCTTGAGATGGCATGGGTTCCACGTGCCCTGAGTGTACCAGCGGAGGGTTGTTGAAGCTAGCGTCCAAGCCTTTCCAGATATGATTGTGAAATTTGTAATCAATTTCGGCACTATTGTTTTCATTTCTGTTGCAAAATGTATCCTGTAAATAATACGGAGTATATACACTCTGTAAAGATTGGGAAAAGTCCAAAGGAAACACAAAGTGTTAATGATGTGTTGGTAACACATGTACCTGCAGCCATGTGTGTCATAGTGTCGGTGCAAATTTCAAATTAATTTGCTTGTGTTTTTATTGTATGCATTCGTTATTATTTTCATATTGTTCATGAATTCAAATATGAATATGTATATAAAACTTTCTGTTATCACTTGTCATGCACATATTTTCCAATAAAATCAAAGCACAAAACTTAATTACAGTATATACTAATTAACCACTAAGGTCAGAAATAAATACGAATATGTATTCAACTTAACTTCATGGGACGACATATGATTTGAACCACGGCGGCGGATGAGGGTGCGCAAAGCGTGCCTTTGTACAGGGCCTCCAAAAATATAAGACCCGTTTTTTTTAAAATATACTCCGTATATAATGCATGTGTGTAGTTATTTTTTAAAATATTTATTACTTTATTTGCACGAATGATCCATGCAACTATTCAGGTTATCCAACCATAGGTGAAAAATTCACTTTTTCTTATCTTACTTTCATTCGTTCATTTCTGATTTTAAATATTTTTTACTAATTTTGTTTGTTCAAGTTAGAGAAAGTGATCATTTCTCAATCTCACATTTGTTTGTAGCTTTTTTGAGTGTTCTTAAGGTTGATTTTTGGTATTGTATTGATTGTTCTCAAAAGTATTCTTCAAATTGGTTCAAATCAGGGCCGACTCAATAAATTAGGAGACCCGGTACAAGTCACGAAATCAGGTCAAAAGTATTCTTCAAATTGGTTCAAATCAGGGCCGACTCAATAAATTAGGAGACCCGGTGCAATTGGATGAGTAATTTGACTCGTTCAATCAAGATTACAAATCATGTTTGGGGTCCAAGAGACCACGACAATGCTTTTGCTAATTCAAATTGAATATAATATTTTTCATATTTTTGTTTTATTACAAGTAAAATGAACATAGACAATTCAAAATGAAAAAAAAACATACATTGGTCTTTTGTTGAGCTTTAAAGTGAGAGCATTTACATTTAATTAGGCTTTGTTTGCAAACACCCAAAAAAAAGCATTTTCCAACTTTTGGTTTAAAAAAGCTAAAAAGAGTGTTTTCAAGTGACAACTTCTACTTAAAAAAACTTTTCTCGGCTTTTATTCAAAAAGTACTTTTTACTTTTTCTATTACACAAAAACACTTATTTTACCAAACGCTACAAACTTTTACTTTTCAAAATCCTTTTTTTCTTAAACACTACCGACTTTTACTATTAATCACTTTTCCCCAAATCACTTTAAAAAGTTAAAAGCACTTGGGAGTAGTGTTTGCAAACAAACCCTTAGTGTTTGCAAAAACACTTTTCCTCAAACTTTTAGGGTTTGTTTGCAAATGTTTAAAAAAAAGCACTTCTCAGCTTTTGACTTAAAAAACACTTATTTTACCAAACACTACCAACTTTTATTTTTCCCGGCTTTCGTGTCAAAAGTGCGTTTACTTTTTTATTACACAAAAAACATTTATTTTACCAAACATTATCAACTTTTACTTTTCAAAATCACTTTTTCTCACACACTAACAACTTTTATTTAATCACTTATTCTCATTTCATTAAAAAAATAATTTTTTTAAAGGAGACTCGGTTTCAAACAGACCCTTAGCAAATATAACTCCGTAATCAAAGAAGGCCATCTACAATATCATCCAACTTTTTTTGGGGTAAAACGAAAAGGGGAGCATAAAGCATCGTGCGTCCATGTCTAATATAGGTCTTCTAAACCTCTCGTGCAGGACCAAATTGTATAGGACACAATTTTCTCATATGTATCTATTTTTTTTTGTTCGAATTAAATATTGATATGTAAATATGTGAAAATTCAAATTCATTAATTCAAATGAGTGTAATCTAAAACTCTCATGTTCTTGTATATATACATCGTTATACACTTATATGTGAATGAAAGAAAAGTTTTTGATCTGATTCATTACATGTTATCAGCACAATGACTTAGTATGTAGAACAGGAGTACTACTTATTGATTATTATATGTTTATTTAGTATTGCAACTGTGTAACTTAGTTTTGCTGTGTACATGAGAAGTATATAGCTTGTAGGTAAGCAAGTTATATAAATAGACTTTATGTATTCTACCTATCACTGAAATAAAATAAAATATTATTTCCTACTTAACTACACATTTGGTCCAAGTATATCCATGGAAATACATTCCTCCATTAAAAAGTACACTAATAAAGGAACTTGGATGGGATCACATGCATACATGTATTAATGTACTTAAAAGACACGGTCAAATGAGAACAATGCTTACATTATCCGTTTTGAAGAAATATTTATTAATCTCCACTACATTTATTTGATGTTGGCATGCTTTACCGTAGTTTAAAAAAATGTAATAGATGAGCTGATGAGCCTTATAGTGCACTAAATTGTGTTAAAAGTGCATGGTTGTCACGTTAAACATGGTTCTCATTAGGTTCGCTTTGTATATACACATACAAATACAGAATTATTAGAACTGCAACACAGAATTGTATTCAACAAAATAACTAAAATTTCAAAAGGTTATGTATAGGTAAATATCTTTTTTGGGAAAGTTCCCGAAATAGGACTAAAACAGTTTGAAAATTCCAAAATAGGATTGTCATGTTTTTTATTCCCAAAATATGAGCAATTACTGCCAAATTTGGAATATACTGCCATGTTTGAAGTCTGGTACTGCCAAAACATGACAGTAATTAGTCCTATTTTGGGAATAAAAACATGTCGGTCTTTTTTTTAATAATTTCTACTTAGTAGTATCTCCATCCCGCTAAGATGAAGCATGAAGGAGGGATGAGATACTAAACAAATAAAGCATAAATAGAATAGAATTAATTATAAGTACATAAAAAAATATAAGTACATTGATAATATCAAATATTATACCTCTCATGTCGTTAAGATTGTCTCATACTAAATTTGGTAAAATTTGTGTAATTCTAAATCATTCTAACTTTATCGATCAATATGAATGACATAAAAATAATATTAGTGGAACGGAGGTAGTAGCATATATACGGAATATGTGACAAATTTAATGGAATGACATATACGGAAGATTGATCTAGTGAACTAGAAGCCCAACAAACACATTAAATATATATACACAAAATATTTTTTGTAGATTAATTAAGACTCAAGTTCAAAACATTGGATACATTTCCTTCCTCATCCAATATGTGCTCCTTGATATTTTTCTATTCTCCCAATTGAAATACTTCAAAGACAATATTTCACTAATGTTACTTCCAAAAAAATGATGAATTAAAATGCCAATTAGTAACTTTTAGTGATTACTTTTAGTGATTATAATTGTGTTCAAAGTTTAAGATATCGTAGTGATTATACTCACTAAATATTACTTAGTAAAATTTATGTCCACGAGTTTTTTTATTAGTAATATTTTAGAAAAAAATTCAATTTCAATTCCTTCACTGTGAGACCTTCCAACAATCTTCAATATTTTCAAGGTAATTTATCCGTCTTGTATAAAATAAGCATCACTGAATATATGTTCTTATGAATAATGTTTTTTTGTAAATCTTTCTAATTATTATAGTATTTGTTCTTTGTTATGAATAATGTTTTTATAAAGGGTTTTTTAAAAAATATAATCAAAATAAAATTCATTTTCACACATATGACCAATAATGACTACAATAGTGTCATAGTAACTTAAGTTTAAAAGTTGAAGATAAAATACTATGATTTCATTACTACTATAGTCACTATAGTCACATTTTTGTAAACAATCTTTTTAGTCATAAATATGTAATTATTTCTTTTATAAAATCATTATTCACCACTATCTATTAAATGTCCTATATATTTGTTCATTCTAAAAACCTTCATTTAACTTAATAAATATGTGATTGAAAAAAATTACTTCTCTCTTATATTTTTGCAAACTTTAATTACACAATTTTTATTTTATTAGTGGAAATCAAAATTTGCCAAAGTTTGTGAGTGGGAATATTTGATAACGGGTTTAAAATGTTAATTACGAAGTATAATTTTTTACTTGGACTATTTTCAGTCTCACACTAGACTAGACCGGACCAGACTAAACTTTCATAGTTATAAATACACAAAGACCAGACGTTTATCAAATCATACCAGTTTAGTTCAGACTACACCATATTTAAATAGATCAGACCAGACGAACAAATTAGGTTCAACTAAAAACATCCTTAAGGCAGGTGCAACTGCTAAAATATTTACTACCAAACGATGTCGTATAAGCTGTCTTTTGTTTGCCTTTTGCCGCTGGCCAAACGTCTTTGACCCCCCACCGTTTCGCCTCCGGCGCCCCAAATTTCAGTTCACTTCAAGCTCAGATCGGAAGGTTATGGAATAGCATGTTCACAATTCCCGCGGCTTCTCTATTCTGGAATTTCGGCTAACGATTCCAAGATTTCCAGAACCAAAGGGTACTCGCCAGTATGTTTCCTTTTCGTGCAACCCTTTTTCCGGTACCCTGATAATGGAATTAGCGTGTGTACTTTGTTTTCTCCCATCTTATATATGAGCCTTTTAGGGAGTCTGTGCTTTTTCAGAAGCACTGTAATTTAGCATCTTAAGTGGTTTTCGAGGATAATATTCGTGTTCTTTCTGCGTACTAGTTTGAACATGCTTTGGCTTTACTTTAACGTTCTTCTCTTTTTGAAGAATTGATTTCCTGTCTGCATGGAATTGAGGGATTATTTTGAATTTCACCCCTCATGAAAGGGTTGTATGTGCCTTATAAGTAACTATACTCTGTTCAACTAGTTTCACATACAAGTATACAACCGAGCTAAGACCTATTGAATTTGTATCAATTTATCTCTTGATATATTGGATCTTATAGTTGAAGCTCAAAGCTTTGGCATTTTGGTGAAAATTATCTACAGTCACGTGTTGCTTATTGAAATCTTAGAATATATAGAGCTAAAATGAACTTCTCAATAGGGTTTGGGAATAACACTTGGTGGCCAATCATGACGACCAAAACAAACACTTTAGATTACTGGTTGAATTGGAGATTCTTCGTATCTGCCATATGGATCGTTGCAGCTATGGTGGTTTCTGCATTGATGATTTGGAGGTATGAAGTCTCCGCAAAATCAAGAAACCAGCATGGGGAGGATCAGCAAGTAAAAGTAGGGACTTTACACAAGGATGATGTTTGGAAGACATCTTACAAATCCATCAGTCCTATTTGGTTGCTTACTTACAGGATACTTTCTTTCTTGCTGCTTCTGGGGTTGCTCATATCAGATGCTGTTTTACACAGTGGTCGAATATTTATTTATTACACTCAGTAAGGCAATTCAAACACTCGTTAAATATAACTTTCTCCATCAATTTTCTTGTGTCAGTGGTATAAAAATGTATCTCTCTAATGTTTTTTTGTTTTTGGGTGTAAAACAGGTGGACATTCACTCTTGTCACCATATATTTTGGGGTATGACAATCTGCATTATCTTCCACTGGTAAACAGGAGTTATCTCTTTTTTGTTGTATTTACGTGTATGCCCCCACATGTTGCAGGTAGCATCATTACATTCCTTATATGGGCTGAAACTATGTAGAAAGCCCTCTGCTGAAAGGGTTAACATTATGGGCTCAGATGTCGAGAACGGGCGTTACGTTTCCAGTAGTCAAGACGAACCACGTCTTCTGGATGCTGCTGGAATTTGGGTTTATGCTATGCAGATAATTTTTCAAGTAAGAGCTCTCCTGCCAATATGGATTTACATCAATCCCACATTATCCAGAAATGTTCAATGTTATCATCTCCAAGAATAGTAATTTTTCTTGCTTCACTTTTAGATGTGTGCAGGGGCTGTGGTGCTTACAGACATTGTATTCTGGCTCATAATTTACCCCTTTCTCACTAGTAAAGATTACCGGTTGCATTTTGTAAGTCAAACCTTAATGTTTCTACCTTCTAGGTTCTAGGTCAGATTTAATTGTTTAATCACTTTCTGAATTTTTCTTGTTAATACAGCTGGCCGTTTGTATGCATTCTGTGAATGCTGTTTGCCTTTTGGTTGAAGTTGCTTTAAATCGCCTTGTGAGTTGACTTTCCTTGACCAATTTCCAACCAATAAGCCAACTTAACCACCGTCTAGAACTGATTATTTCCTTCTTCCAGAATTTCCCTTTCTTCCGAATTGCATATTTTGTCCTGTGGACCTGCGTTTTTGTGACGTTCCAGTGGATCATCCATATGTGTGTTTCACTATGGTACGTTTGGTTTGCATATTTAGAGCTGTTCTTTACCTTTGTTGAAGTTAAAGCCAAATAATAGTACGTTCCTCTCCTCATAAACATCTGTTTTAACAGGTGGCCTTATGCCTTTTTAGACCTGGCATCTCCATACGCTCCCTTATGGTATGTTTCTATACTGTATTTTCAATTTTCGTCTCAGCCAATTCATTGATTTTATATATTTGATAGCAAGGTATAAACTTGCAGGTACTTAGGGGTTGGGGCGCTTCATGCTCCATGTTTCTTTATCTTCACTCTTATAATAAAAACGAAAAGATATTTACTGTCAAGATTTCTTCAGAGTAATGTTGGAGTGTAGTAAAGCTGAGAAAGGTGGCATGCTCAACTCCAGCAACAATTTCTTTGAACACTCATTTATGAAATAGTAATATTCGAAGATCCTTTTTGCTAGTTTAGCAACACTTTTAGTCCATGATCGTGTAGTTAGCAAGTACACCCTTCAAAGATGTGTGTGAACAGAGGAGATGTTAATGAAGCTGTTTCTTGAGGTGGGCTAGAAGGCAATCTCTAAGCGTGGCCAAGGCAACTTAGATTGGAACAAGACTAAGGGTTGGACGCGGTCCGGTTCGTTTCTTCTTCCAGCTTTTATTGTAAATTAATTTCATGTTGTGTCACTAAATTACTCAAAGAAAATGCAGTCAAAATGATGCTGTACTGTCATTTTGGTTGTGCAGTTTTGCTCATAAGTCATAAGTGGTAGGTATAATGGCTTGTATTGTTAGCTGAAGGCTGAAGCTAAACGACAGGGATACTAGTATTCATCATTCATATCTTATTGGAAATTAATTTTATGCGTCGTTATTGTAATCCAATTAATGAAATTGTAGCTATTGTTGGACACGAAGTACTATTACTAGCTTAAAACTCCTAGTTGACAACGTCTTATCTTTCTGAGTACTCACGTTTCCATCCATCTCTAATGTATTGCAAATTTAAGGGAAAAAGTTGAATCACTAAATGTCTTAAATGTTTTGTCTAAAAGAAAACAATGGTAACTTTTGGACCGGCCAACAATGACGTCTGAATCATTTTGTGAATGAGATAATAACACTTAACTAAATACCTACTAGGGGTATTAGTGTATTACTGTATCAGGGTATACATGATCAGATTATGGACCTGAATCTGATTATAATGGACTTGTTTAGTAACTAAAATACAAGTCTGGTCTATGGTCGATGTCTACTTTAACTATGTTGGCTTGCACATTTATTAACTACAAAGTATATTTTTAAAATCAATTTACCCATTTTTAAATTTATATGTATACATATTTGGACATATTATCCATTTTATCTTTTTCTTGAAGGTTTAGAATTTAGCAGTTTTAATGTTTAGGATGGTCTATTGCCAATAGAAGCAACCATTTTGATCTCTTTCTATCAAAGAGAAAGAAATCAAAGAATAATCCCAAAGTAGGACCTTATTCTAATTTTATTGGGAAAATGCACAAGCATAATCTCAACCTCTGTTAGTAATATATGGTTCGTGAATAATACAATAATACGTACGTTCATGTATAATACGATACAATTATATAAAATACGGCTTAATATATGTTTCATACGTTCGTGAAATATATAAGGATACGGACGTCTTTTAAACGTTTCACAACTTAAAAATACGGCATATAATATGTGTCTTATATACTAGGGAAAACTATCAAAAAAGCCCCCCTACTTTAAAAAAAATCAATTACACCCCCCAACTGAAATTTCGCTCAATCAAACCCTCGTACCTATTTTAAAGTGGCAAATCTCCCCTTTTTACCGGTAATGAATTGCTTGCCCGGCTACAGTGCACACGTGGCGACCCACGTGGCAGTTTTCATTTTTTTCCATTTTCTTTTTCTTTTTCCTTTCTTTTTCCCTTCTCCTTCAGGCTTCAATCCTTCCCCTTTCTCCTCCTTCTCCTACGCCCGTAACAGGCTTCCAGCAACCCCCTTCCTCCTTCACCCTTTCTTCTCCCATTTTCTTCTTTCCTCTCCCAATTCCCACCCACCGGTCGTCGTCCCTTCACACCGTAGCTTGAGACAAACCCTCGTCGTCGGAGATTCTGGAGTATCCATCGCACGTCGGAGTGGCGGACGCCTCCTCGCTGGGTCTGTCGTCCTCTTCCCTCGATTGGATGGCTTGGAAGTCAGTGAAGGTGCTCCGTTGAAGCTTCCGGTTCGAAGACGGTGCTCCGTGAGACCTCAAGGCCGGCCTTTTACAGATCTGCCGCAGCTTCAATTCGGTCCCACCGTAGTCGACGGAGGAGAAGTAGGGAGCGGGAGTGAAGGCGGAGGAAGGTGAGAAGGGTGAAGTGAGGCAGGAGAAGTAGGGAAAGAAGAGAATGGGAAAGGAAGAAAATAAGTGCAGGTGTGCGCAGGGAAGAAGGGTGCGGAAGTGAAGAAGCAGAGGAAAGGAAAGAAATGGAAAAGGAAAATGAAAAAGAAAGAGAAAAAGAAAAAGAGAGAAAGGAAAAAAGCCATGTCATACGCCACGTGTGCAATCTAACCGGGATTTGGGAGCTATCGGTTAAAAGGGGGGTTTTGCTATTTTAAAAAGAGGTTCGAGGGTTTAATTGAGTGAAATTTTAGTTGGGGGATCTAATTGATTTTTTTTAAAAGTAGAGGGGCTTATTTGATAGTTTTCCCTATATACTAATTTAATAATAGAAATAAAGAGTTATTTAGCATTTGCATGCACCACATTCTTCAATAATTTAAAATGTACGGAATAAATTTTTCATATATACGGATTTGAACACATAAGTACAATAAGTAATAAAAATGAAGTTGCCTATTTGAGTAGAAGTAGAGAGATATCATTAGAGAATAGTTGATATTACTGTGACCGTGAGTTTGGTGAGCCGCCACAAAATTTTTCGATCTCTTTGGAGTCTTGGTATAGGTGGAGAACAAAAGTATTACAGTGGTAGTACAATACTAATATCGAAACGAATTACGAATTTAAGAAGCTAATTAACCTAATTTATTAAATGTAATCACTATTAAACAATTAACGAACATATAAGGCATACATTTTTTAAGCAATATAAAAAATATTGAGCAGCTAAACATTTCATTTCAGTTGTATCACTACATTAGGCTTTCGTTTAATGGTGTGTGTTTTTGAATAAAATATGTATCAATACATACAATACGTGTATTATACATTTTATGCTTAAACTCGCCTTAAAGTACGAGAGGTTTTCAGAATTTTTCTAAAAAAATCATAAACGATAGTATTATACGGGAATAAAATACGTATCAATACGTACAGTACGCGTACGGGAATTATACATTTTATCCTTAAAGTACGCGAATTTTTCCGAATTTTTTGAAAAATTCATAAACGGGAGTATTATACGCGAATTATACGTTTGAGTGTATTATACGCGAATTATACGCGAATAAACTAACAGAGATCTCAACTACTAGTAATCCGCTTAAAATAATCCAAGACATCAATTATCTCAAAATAATCCCAAGTATTGAAAATTTTCTCATAGTGTTCCACCGGTTCATTAGTATTATAAGCAATTTACGTGTTATACGAAGTTTAAGTCATTAGAGTATTTTAAGAAATTTTTTCAATAGATGAGATTGCTTTGAGAAAATTGATACTTGAGATAGATTATTTCGTGTGTTCCTCTATATTTGAGATTATTTATATTAATTTTTCCTATTTTTATTTCGTGTGTTCCTCTATATTATTTGAGTGGCATCACTTTGCATACACTCTGCTAGGGGTGGAAACGATCCGGTTCGATTCAATATTTTGCCGAACCCGTACTCGTACTGTGACTATTGAAACGGTTCGGTTCGGTCTTAGACCTAAACTCATTCGGAACGGTTCCATTTTCAAACAAGGTGGTACCAGGTCATATCAATACCAAATAATGTCATTTTTTCAAGTGTTTAAGGATAAATTAAAATTTAGCCATTCTCCAAAAATTCACACAATTTTTCAATTTTCATATTAAATAATCAATCAATTTCAGATACAATATAGAAGTACACATTTAAACAATTAAACTATACTTCCGTCCGGTTCCATTAGTAAAGGCCGTGAAAGTGAGAATGCATTAGTCAAAATAATGATCTAAATGTACATTTAAATAATTAAATCATACTTTACAATTGTTAAACCAAACCTCATTCAACGGCAAACTCAGAAGTCGTGGCCGGGTTTCCATTATGGAATTTCGATTCTATCAGTAAGACAGTAATCACCTTGCATCGTAAACCCGACGGAACAGCACGGACGCCTAATTCACGATTCGCTGATTGCCTGATTCCCAAAATTTCTAGATTCAGAGGGTACACTCTACTCTGTTTCTTTTTCGTGCCGTGATCATGGAATTTGCGTGTATACTTCATTTTCGCACATCAGATATTGTCATCAATGCTGATACTTTTTTGGGTTGGATGGGGTTTGATTTAATTACACTTTCTGCATATCATAAGTACTGTAATATAGCAACTTCAGTGGTTTTCTGCGGTAACTTGTTTGGAATTTGAACATGCTATTAGCTTTATTTTAAATTTGTTATGTTTTTGAGCATTTGATGTTTCCGTCTACAAGAAGTTACGAAATCAAGTGCTTCCGAAACTGTTTGGAAAGCATTTCCTTGTGTCTTAGAAATGACTATGCTTCAATCAGTGTTATTTACTACTTGTATGTAAAGTTACCTAATTTGGAAGTCTTTTTAATACAGAGCCTACAAACAACTTTCCGTACCGCCCATCTAATTTCAAGCTCTATCAAGTACTATTAGTTATCAAAACTTTTGAAATTTGTGGAAACTACTGGCAGTTAGGTTTACTTGATATAGAGAATTTAGTGTTTTTAGAGCTGAAAAATGAACTTCTCAGTAGGGATTGGAGATCACACTAGGTGTCCGCCAAGCATGACGTCTGCCACAAACACTCCAGGTTACTGGCTGAACTGGCGATTTCTAGTGTCTGCCATATGGGTCTTTGCAGCTATGGTGAGTTCTGCATTGATAATTTTGAGGTATGAAGGCTCATCAAAATCAACAAATCAAGAGGGGGAAGATCAGCAAGAAAAAGTAAGGACTTTTCACAAGGATGATGTTTGGAAGACATGTAACGAATCCATCCATCCTGTTTGGCTGCTTACTTACAGGGTTATTGTTCTTTTGGTTCTTCTGGGGTTGCTCTTTGCAGATGCTGTTTTACATGGCATTGGCATTTTTTACTTTTACACTCAGTAAGGACATTCTATCTTACTTTTGTTTTCTAAATGGTCAAAATAATATGAGTTTGTATTTTTGTGTTGAGTTGTTTGGGATGATTTAACAACATTGAAGCTATATACCTTCAAAACTTTATCCTCTTATCATCATCATCATCATCATCATCATCATCATCAATACCACTAATTGATTCAAAAAATGGTTTTACTGAATGTCTAGTGTATGAGGCTATGAGCCAGACAAGCAGTTTCAAATGAAGTTCTCATTTAATATTGAGCCCATTCAAGCCCCATTTAGAGATGATTAGTTGCACATAACAAAGAGATGTTATAACACCCCACTAATGCTTTTTAGTTTGTACCTTAGTTTTATAAAACTCACTCTGTTTTTTTGCCTGGTTCAAAATAGGTGGACACTTACTTTGGTCACCTTCTACTTTGGGGTAAGCTAATCTTCACTATCATGCATTAGTAAAATTGGGGCTGTCTTTGTATGCAATGTCCGAAACTGCGCAATATGTCTGATTTTTTATAGCAAAAATGCCCCTTGAGGCTATACCAATGTCTTGAGTTGTTACTGAGGCGAACTGTGTGCACAATTAGGATGATTAAAGTATTAAACTTCAGTTCACTATCTAAATTTAAAAAACCAATTTTATTTCTTCATTAAGAAGTCAACTTTACCGGATAATCTTATGCGACTTCTCCTCCCCTCTCTTCTCTTCTGTGACTTCTCTAATTCTCTTCGCGGATGTATACAGATATTTCATTCAACTTCTCTTTCCTCTTCACTCTTCACTCTTCCCTCTCATCTTCTCTTTCTCTTACCTGATTATGCTTCTTTAGCTACTCCAGACTTTTTTCTTTGAACAGATTATTGATTTTCAGTTGTTCACAATATCTCCTCTTTGTTGTTCTATTTGACTGTGATGTTGCTTGAGTATTAATGTATTAATGACTATTTTATGGTATTATTATAAGCAATTCCAGTGCTATTTGTAATTATTTAAAACACAATTGTTTAAAAACTTAGGCTTATTCCTTGTTGCGCAATGAGGCTTACTCAATACGCAATTCAGCAAAATCTTGAAAACTTTGGTATGATAGTATTTGTGTGTATGTCCCACATGTTGTAGGTAGGATCGTTACAATCCATATATGGGATGAAGTCTTCTAAAGATCTCGCTTCTGAGATAGAGAACTCAGATGTTGAGAGCAGTATTGGAAGTTATGCCGCTCAGATCATTTTTCAGGTAAGAACTGTCCCAATAGAATGGATTTTTACACCCCACTTTTTCCCGTGTCATTTTCCATTTGACATTTCCCACTGTATTATTAGATGTGTTCAGGGGCTGTGGTGCTTACAGACATTGTTTTCTGGCTCATAATTTACCCATTTCTCACTGATAGCGATTACCAGTTGCATTTCGTAAGTCAAAATTCTTAACTTCTATTAGTTTTATTTCTCCTTATTCAATTACAGTTGCATGGTCCTTCTCTCTTCTCTTTAGATTTGTTGGTATGTTGCAAAATCTTTTCTTACCATTGAATGATGATATTGCAGCTGGATGTTTGTCTGCATTCTGTAAATGCTGTTTTCCTTTTAGGCGAAGTGGCTCTAAATCGCCTTGTAAGTTGACTTACGTTCACTAGTCTCCAACTAATAAGCTATCCAACCATAGCTGCCAATCCTAAACCTGATATTTCCTTATTCCAGAGTTTCCCTTTCTTCCGGATTGCATATTTTCTCCTATGGACTTGCGGTTTTGTCATTTTCCAGTGGATTATTCATATGTGTGTTTCCATGTGGTATGTTTCCATATACACAACTCCTCTCTACTTTTGGACGAATCTTGGCTCCGTTTGTGTGTGCTGAAATACTTAACCGGATCATGTTTTCTGATATTTTGTTATTCGGTACTGTAAAATATTTTCCAGAAAACGTTTTCCTTGATTCTTTTGCCTTTAGTGAAATGTGAAATCAATTTCCCAAAACAAATTCATTTTTTCTGTTTCTTGTAACAAACAGAACATTAAAAGCATTTAGTTCCTCTCCGAGTCTCCGCATAAACATCTCTTTTAACTTTGATACAGGTGGCCTTATTCTTTTTTGGACTTGTCATCTCCATATGCTCCCTTATGGTATGTTAAATTCAACTCTTTATACTCCAAGAAATTTCATTTTCAAATATTTGATAGAAACATAAAATTTGCAGGTACTTGGGGGTTGGAGCACTTCATTTTCCATGTTTCTTTGTGTTTGCTCTTATCATAAGAGCAAAAAATTATTTACTGTCAACATTGGTTCATTATAATGCTCAACACCAGTATAGGATTATTTGAGTGCTCAATTGGGAATAGTCTGAAGATCAATTTGGTTAATTTGTATCTATACGTGAAAACTTGCCTACCACAGCCCACAGGGCGGATACTACTCATTTAAGGAAGCAGCAGATGATGTACTCAGTATACAAACATCTCTCTACAGAAAACTCCAAATATGTTACAATGAAAGTTGGATGAAAAATTTCACCCTTTTCTCACACGAACTGACGAAAGTAACATCGAAAACTTCGGTGTTGTAGACCAAATTCCACCCTTTTTAATGCCTTATACCCCAACGGCACCTGCATTTTTTACAACTAAAATTTATACCATACAATAGTACAATACCTACAAATCCCCTACAATTTCAGTATAGGACGAAGTGCATAATGAACCGCACTGAATATAAGTGTTAGTGAATTTGCAAGCACAATATATGTATATACTGAAATTTTTGTATACTGAAATTCGGGGTGTACTGAAATTTTAGGTATGGTAACAATATATAACGAAATTTGGTATACTAAGGTTTTTTTATATTGAAATGGTTAGGTGTTTGGTATATACTGAAATTTTAAAGTTGCATACTCAACACTAAATGCTAGTTCTGAATGCTTAAACTTAAATTTGAAAGGTGAAACCCTGAAATTAAAAGGTATTTTGAGCTAAAATCATTTCATATTCCAAATCAACGTGACAACGTCTATACACATCATATTTAAGGAATACAACATAGGGAATTAGACTCAAATAGGACTAAATCAAAGGCCGAGTAGATAAATAGGAGTTGTAAGTTTTTAACTCTTAAATAAGACTTATTTTAAACGGGCTGACAAAAATACCCCTGAACAAAAGTATTCCTCCCAACCATTGGAACGTGCGCCGCAGATCACTCATATCACGAACTGTTCGCCGCGTTCTCTGTTGCTGATAACGTCACCGGATCCTCGCCGGAGAAGATGCCGGGTCTTCTTCTTCCTTTTTCTTCCGTCTGCTCGATAATGACATGTGGTCAGCGCTGGTGCAGGTTAGTGGAAATCCAGTAAAGCCAATCGCCCACTTGATCCAAGATTTATTCCTCTCGACGAAGGATAGAACGGATAGAGAGCTTTACTAAGTTCGTCCATAAGGCTGTCTACAATATTCTTTTGATAATGAAAAGAGAAGATCAAAAAAAACAAGCAAGCCGAATCCTTTTTTGAAATGAGACCCTGGGGACAGAACTAAATTGAGTCCATAGATGTTCGCAGAGAAGATCTGCCGAACCAAATGAGAAGCACTATTTAGGTGTTAATTGCTAAATCGAAGAGAAGACCTCCTTTTACAGAGTCTGAGTGTCCTGCAATCCATTTCAACTTCTACTAAATTACAATATTACTATTGCTTTTTTTAATTTTTGTTTTACTTTGTAAATTCATTTAATTAAATTAATTTTTGGAAAGTATTTCATTATTCATTTTGCAAAAGTTATTCTTTAATACTAAAGTGATATTTCATTAATTGTGACATTTTCAGTAATTTAATTACATTATAGTTGTATATAATATTGTAATGTAATGTCATTGTTTAAAATCAGTGATAATGATATGAAAATGTCATATTTTTATACAATGTTGTTACGGCTGAATAATTATGCCAAAATGTAGGGGAAAAAAATCACAATGCCCAACCATGTAATTATAAACATGATCACTAACAAAATTATCAAAATACTACTCCGTATAATATTGTTAAAATGTAGAGAAAATGTGACAATGTTATAACAATGACAATGCTATAAAAATGACATTGTAAATGACATTTTCATAACAATGTCAATGAAAATTTCATAACAATGTTAACGACAATTTCATAACAATGTCAATCATTATAAAAAACATTGTTTAAAATAATGTCAAAGCTACAGGATGTTATTTTTATGAAAAAATAATGTATTACAATGTCACTATATCACAATGTCATTATATGACACTGTCGTTTTCAAAACATGTGACATTGTCCTGAAAATGTTATAATAATGACATTATAATGTCAATAACAATGGCAATTTGCATTAAAATGACATTGTTAAAAATAATGTCAATGATATAAAAAGGTACGAGTATTACTTTTATAAAAACAAATTGCAATGTAAAATACGGAGTATATCAAGCAGATACATTAAGCAAAAAAGTGGTTGAACATTGAAGCATAGTAGGATCTTTCTTACTTCGTATAAGTTATACTCCATGTGTAATACTCGGTAACTAATAATGACCCTATGTTTTGAACTAATAGGTGGCCGGGTGAGCCACTGTCCGCTTAGTGGGGTCTCACTTCAACAGATGTGAAGGCGAAAAGTTCAATCCACGTTCTAGCAAAAATCTTTGCCGGAGGGGAATCGTTGGTTTCAAGCTTTGGTCGAAGACCTTTTTTGACTGATTTTTCTTTGATTTGATCTTCACAGGTAGGATAATGTATGGGGATGGAGGCTGGCTGGATTCTGTTATGATGCTCTGTTGTTCGTCGCGGAAAAAGCGCCGGGAACCATCGACACCGGAAATACTGATCGGATAGGAGAAGAATGGATATCTGCCGCCGTCCACCGTCGCTGATGCCGTGCAGCCATCGCCGCGTAGTTCGCTCCATCTTCTCCATTGTGTCTCATCTCTAGCTCTGCACCATGCTCTCTTCACAAGATGAGCAGATCCGCAACGTCTTCCCGTCGATCTATGGTATGAAAGAGAAGTATGGTTGTTTGTCGACAGAGAAGAGAAATGGAACAAGGCGTAATAAATTTAGGGGCAAACTTGGAACAAGGAAAATATTAGATCTTATTTAGGAATTAAAAAAGTCAAGGTCTTATTTAAGTATATACGAAAACCTAAGGTCCTATTTGGCACCATTTCCCTAATACTAGTCGTATTTGTGAAGAAAACCTAAACGTAATTTGGGCTTATGACTTATTCTGAAAGAAGCAAAAAACAAAGATGTAACCGACACGCGTCTTTCCGTCAACTACTAATGGGAATGGGAAAGAAACAATATGGGAAGATCCAAAATAGTAAATCGTAAGGTTGGGGAGTTACCAATGGTTTTATGGAAATTTTCCAAAATGTGAGTAAAAATAATGTAAAATTTTAAATTGTGAGTACTATTTCCTTCACCCTAAGATAGATACATGAGTAAAGATATTGAATTAATAAAATAAATAGTGTATAGCAAGAACGGTTTGGAATCACACCAACATAACCAAATTTAGTATAAGAGAATTTTAGTGGAACGAATCAAAAAGTAAAAATTGGACAATTTTAGCATCACGGAGAGAGTATAGTTTTCCCTTGAATATTTGAAACTTACTTCCATCTTGAAATTTTATTAGCTTATTTTGGCAATTACTACAATAGTTGGAAGTATTTTTCAAATGTGGTACTCCATCTGTCCCCTATGTTTGTCTCATTTTACCCTTTTCGCTCATCTCACTAAGTTTGTCTCATATCATATTTGTAAATTTTTAGTATGTTATAATAAACTTTTATTTTATTTACCCTATCAATTTAATATCAACAGTACAATTCACTTTTCTTAATAACTTTACCATTCCATTTCATCTCGATGGTAGGAGTGGGGTTGTTAATGAATCGGCCTCTTATTGAACTATTCGAATTCAAGCTCAATTTCGAACTTAACGAGTTGAGCTAACGAGCTTTCAAACTTGAACCCGAGATGAGTTTTGAGTTCGAACAATTAATCGAGCCGATCTTGAACATAGTAGTATTTGGCTAGGTTCAAGCTCGAATCTATCGGACACCCTGAAATTAAAAATATAATTTGTGTGTGTGTGTCAAAATTTAAATGTAATTGATATGATTTAAATATGATTTTAGCAAACCAAATACTTGTTAAATAATTTGATCTCAGCATGAGCTTATTAACGGGCATGCTTTAAAATTGTAAATTCAAATACATTTATCGAGCTTACTTAAAGCTCGATCCGAAGATTGAACACCTATCGAGTTGAACACGAGCTTCATTTGTAAAGCTCGTCGAGCTTCGAGCTTAAACCCGAACACCACTATTATTGAATCAAGTCGAACTCGAGCTTTGAGTGTTTGGGGTTGATTCTCATCGTTAACAATCCTAGTTAGGAGAGGGGGTAGTAGTAACTAGTAACTACGCTTAATTTAATGAATAAAAACACAATGCTCTTGTTTGCAAAAAAAAAAAAAGAAACACAATGCTCTTATTTTTTATTATGAGCTACGTAGTATAAAAAAGCCCAACCGTAACATGGTTTAAAATTTGAAAGTATTGTTATGCCTGGTTAAAACGATATTATTCATGTGTATGTTGCTCCTCTCTATTGACTAGAAATTTGCAGAAGAGAGAGTGAGATCAGAGAGATGAAAACATAGTGGGATAGGGAAAAATGTAAACGGTGAGTGTAATTTTTATGAGAGTAAAAAATGTAAATGGTGAAGTGTGATGTATACGAAAATTGTGAATTTGTTGTAAATTCCTGAGAATGACAAGTGTGAATTGTTCATCCTTGTCATCAGGACACTAATCCAATTCAAGGCCTTGTAATAGACAGATGGCTAGGTTTAATTCTACCAGCAAAATATGTAGAACTGTTCTTTGATGATTCATCACCAAGCCCAGCTAGTATAAATAGGGCTTGATCAATCCTTTTGTAATTCAATTCAGATGCTCAGAAAATCTCAGATATTAAGAAGAAGTTATTTAGAGGTTTTTTATCTATATCTATCTCTTAAATTTAGTCTTCATCTTCTTCATTTCACAACACGTTATCAGCACGAATCAGCTCAAAATCTTCAAGAAATCATCATCTAATCATCTCCTGCAGTATATCATGGCAAACATAAGCAAAAGAGAATTTGACGTTCTTGATCTGGCACATCTTAAGGCTAATGGCTTAGAAGAAACAATTGAAGCCAATAATCTATCATCTTCCCAAGATAAAGCGAAAGCTATCATTTTCCTCCGTCACCACCTCCATGAAAGTCTCAAATCTGAATATCTTTTGGTTGATGATCCAAAAGAATTATGGGACAATTTACAAGAGAGGTATGGCCACCAACAAAAGGTACTTTTGCCAAAAGCTCAGTATGACTGGATCAATTTAAGATTCCAGGATTTTAAATCAATCAGTGACTATAATTCTGCCATGTTCCAAATAACATCTAAACTAAAGTTATGCGGACAAAAAGTCAC